AACCGCGTTCCTACCCCCCAGCTCGGGGAGAGACCGGCTGGGGTGGACGGTGTGCGCTCGAGGCCCTGGGGCAACCCCATCCTCATCCCCCACCGCCACCACCCCTGCGGGACCGAGCGTCCGGAGCGAACCGGCTGAACCATCTTTTCTCTCCAGGACCGGTCGCGTGGTGGGTTTGCCCAGACGCCCAGGAGGATATTGGCATTTGTGTCCTAAAGCCGGGCTTCCCACTGCGAAGGCACCTTTCCCTCGCCGGGAACAGCGCTGCTCTCCGTGTTTCTCCGCGTGGTGGGTTCAGCTGCGCCCCCAAACGCCAGTTGCCTGGAAGTAAATGTCAGGGGTTCGTCTGGGGGGTGTACTTGAAGACCTGCCAGGTCTGAGTTGACGGGAGCTATTTTTATAGGACCAAATAAAAACAGCTGGTCCAGGATCAACTGTTTCATAAGATGGAAATGGCTGCAGCACAAGAGATGCTGGCTGATTGGCCCGAAGAAGAAACGTTCTGGGTCCCTCAGTTGAGCCCAAACGGGTGAGCCTGCCCGAGAGTAGGGGGTTGTGGAAACCTGAACTGCCAGGTTGTGGCTCTGCTAGGGCCCCACCAGTTTCTGCCTCCCAGCGTCACCATCTGAGTAGGGAGCCCACACCCTGACTGCACAGGAACCACTTGGAAGGATTTCTTCTTGGAAGAACTCAGTAATTTGTAGCTGTCACCTCCCTGTGACTATTATTTAGCACACAAAAAAAAGGGGGGGGGGCGTGGGGGCAAGGGCTAGTGCAGAGATCTCTGACAGCCTAACTCTCTAGTGTTTGGAGGACTGAGGACTTGTGCAACACTTCTGCCTCAAGTGTCTCCAGTGGGCTATGTGGTTGTCTTCAGGGTAGAGAGCTTAGCCACCTTTAAATGTAACACAAGCCCTGTGACACCTAGCACATAGGAAGGGGTTCATTAAACGTTTATAGGCAGAATTGACTAAACAATTAATTAAGTCCCCAAAGTAGTGATGGGTTGGAAAAATACGGATCTTGTTAAAAAGTGTACTTCTTGTCTTATTGTTGAGGTAAAACACCTTTTTCTACATTTATTGTATTTTTCTTGTAAGAGTTACCTTGTTACTGTTTTTTCCCCAGTGGCTAGCTTTAAGAGCTTTTCCCATGTTCATGATATCGATCATTTTCTATGAATTTGGATAATGCTTTATGGAAAGGAAGTAACTACCTACCCTTGGTTTTTATAGGAAAGATCATTCCCTTAGCAGTACCACTGGGAGGGTGTGCATGTCAGGAACCAAGGGAACAAAGTGGGGGGATTTGTATGTGGAACCCTTTCTGAGTAACAATCAAAATTTCCAAAGGTTACTGGTTGGTTGGTTGGTTAGCTAGCGTCCTCTTTGAGGGCAGCCATCCAGCGCTGGCTTACTGGTTCCTTGATAGCCATTATATGAGGCTGGGCTCCACTCTTATGGGTGAGTACCCCTGCCCGACCAATTATTAAGTAATTTTCATATCATCCCATGCCTGCCATAACAACACTGCAGAAAGCCAGGCATCAGAGGTCACTAACAATGCCAATGCTCACAGCTGCCAATGAAGAAAAGCAGATGGATCATCTCCATGTTTCATCAATCATTTTCCTGACTTTAGTGTTTCAAATAAATAAAATTCCTACAGAGTTGGACTTGAATCATTCTGCATTTTACTCTTGGACTTCAGGGTTTTCTTTTTAAATTTTTACGTATTTATTTAGCTGGTCTCTGTATTGCCAATTAGAAGTCCAGTGGCAAAATTGGTTATGTTTTGGGTTCCTAACATCAAGATCAGTTGTTCAAACCCACCAGCAGTTCTGAGGGAGAAAGATGAGGCTTTCTGCTCCCATAAATAGTAACTGCCTCAGAAACTCACAGGGGCGATTCTTCTCTGCCCTATAGGATCACTATGAGTCAGAAGAGATTCCAAAGCAGTGAATTTGGTTTAGTTTGGTGTTGCCAATTTTCTTATAAACATCATTCTGGCAGCATGCTCCTTAAATGTGAGGATGACAAGACTTGTACTTGCTTATTTTGAATCTGTTATCAGGAAAGACCAATCCGTAGAAAAGCGCATCATGGTGTTCAAGTAGAAGGTCAGCAAGGGCCAGGGAGACCCTCCATGAGATGGCTTGACCAATGGCCGCAATGAGCCATTGGAAGAGGATCAGGTAACACTATGTTCTGTTTCACACAGGGTCACCATACATCAGAGCCAACTGTTAGCAAACTCAAAAGAACACCCTGCCATGGCGTCAATTCCAACTCGTAGTGACCCTTATAAGAGAGTAGCGCTGCACCGGTGGGTTTCAGAGGCTGGAAGTCTTTGCACGGAGCAGCTGGTGGATTGAACTGCTGAGCTTGCAGTTCAAGTGGAGCTCAACAAGTAACTCAGGACACCACCAGGCCCCCTGTACCATCGCGCCAACCCGAACCTCTGTCTTCTAAGTCACTGCCAATGCACTGGGACCTGCAGGACAGAGTAGAAGGGCTCCTGTGGGTTCTGAGAGCACATTTCTGTGGTAGGAGAAAGCCTCTTCGTTCTCCAGCGCAGCTGCTGCTGCCTTCCCATTGTTGACTTTGTGGTTGGCAGCCTAGCGTGTATGGCCACCAGGGCTTCCACCACCATCCCAGACACCTGCCACCTTCCACCACCTGCCTACCTAAGCCACGGGAGTAATAACAACAAGATAGGCATGGCAATCGGGAAAGAAAATTAATGAAAACTTCATGTTTAACTACTTTGAAAAACAATCTGTTGTTATTTCTATTGCTAGACCTGAGAATAGGCCAGTAATAAAAAGGTGAGGTGAGACAGGAAAAAAAGAAAGAAAAGTCTTTCCAAATACTCTTGGCTTTTACTTCAGATGAGAAAGTTCCAAAACCGATGCCACTGCTCCCCCTGTTCCAGCCAACACCATGAAACCCTCGGAGCATCTGGTACAGAGCCGGTGAAGGGACTGGTGCCTCCAGAAAGCCAAGCAGTAAGCTGACAGGACAAGAATGCCTTAAGACCACATTGACTGGCTTGGAAAGATAGTGACTGGCTTGAGAGTAAAAATAGTAATTCAGAGAATGTTCCCATGTGCTTGCTTGGACACATGAGGTGGCTTCAAAAAGTACAAGGGGGAATGCCACTATCTTCTAATTCCTATTTTCCATGAACTTTTTGAAGCCTCTTTGTCCCTACTTCCAAAACACACACACACACACACATACACACATATATATACATCCATACACATACACACATACTTATCTCAAAGGATATGCCCCCAAATGTTTCCTCTGATCCCAAAATATTATCTCTGATATTGGAGGCACCTATTAACTTCTCACTGTAGCTGATACATACTTTTGTTTCTACATTGAATATGTATATGTTTGTACAATGCGAAATGACATTGGAAGGATTTTCAAATACTAGAGTAAACTAATGCTCACTAAGCATACACGAATGAACAAACAATACCTGTGTCACCCAGTGACACTGCTGCAGAGTCAAACTGCCCCGTAAAACTTTCTTGACGGCAACTTGATGGAAGCAAGCCACCAGGCCTTTCTCCCATGATGCTGCTGGGTAGGTGTGAACCCAAAACAAACCGTTTGTACCACCCAGAGACCTTAAACCAACACTACGTGACATTTGTTGTCTGTCATAACTGGAAACTAATGTTTACTCTAGAGAAATAAGATAGAGGTTCAATTTAACAGGTCAGTGATGTCCTGAGGGACCTGAAGTATTTCTGTCTCTACTCATGCTTTGGATAGATGTCACTCATGCTTACCAGCATTTTCTCAGTCCCCTCAC